TATTATTATTATTATTGTTTATTGCACTCATTATTTATTGTTGATGAGTGTATATATCCTTGGGTGTCATCATCATCCGAAGATGATGAATCTAACATTTCGTCTTCTTGATGATTAGGTATTAGCATGGATGTTATTTGATTTAACTTGTCTTCTATTTTTCCCATTTGGTTTGAAACCTCAAGTTGTTTTTGTTTAACACATTCTAATTCATCACTTGATGATGATGATGATGATGATGTATTTGGTCGCCTCCTTTTATTATTATTTGAGGAGTCGTTTTTATTATTTGTTCTTGTTTGATTTAAAGAGGAAGTGGATTGTTGTGGGATATTTTCATTATTTTTAATATTCAGTGGATTATGAGTGGAATTATTTAAATTTGGTAAGTTGATTCCTGTGTTAGTCTCCATGAATTTTATTTTTTTGTTAATATCATTGATATTTTCATTAATTTGTGTAATATCTTTTTTTAAGGTATTGATTATATCCAACAATTTATTAAAGTTGTCTTCCCCAATTTTTGTAATTGGTTTAAGAATATTGTTTGTTTGTTTTTTTGGTTGTTGCTTTGCTATATCAGCATATGTTTTTGATTTGGTTTCTTTTGGCTTGAATGGAATATGAAATTTTTTATATAAACCATTAAATTTTTGTTTTTTCATCTGTTTTTCTTCTCTGTCTGCTTTTTCCTCACATTTAACAGCAAGATGTTCTGGGGATCCACAAATATGGCATGTTTTAGTATTTATAGTAGTCCAAAATAGCTCTTTTTCTCTTAGTGCATAATTTGTGTGCATTGCATTGGTCATCAATTCCTCATTTTCAAATGCTACGTAAGCAATTCTTGTTCTGATATATGAGTTTTTGTTTCTGGCAAGAAAACAAGTTTTTCCACCAACAGCAGTGATAACGTCTTCGAGATCATAAGATGTAGTACCAAAAGGAATATTAGTCAGTTTAAGAACATGACAGTTCCTCTGCTGATAAAAATTTTGATAATCTTTATATGGATAGATTCTCATACTATCTTTAAAATATGAAACTGACCATGTATTCTGTAGTTCAGTTATTGTATTTTCACTTTTAAATGTTATTAACGCAGTATACCACATTCCACTAGGTCTCATAGAAATTGTCTCAACTTCTCCAAATTTGTTAAAAATATTTTTAATTATGTCCTTTTTTGCATTTAAAGGGATATCCATAATTTTGATAGTTCTCTGTTGCCAATCTAAATTTTCGTTTCTTTTAATTATTTTTTCAAACTTGTAATCATTGTTTTCTGATATATTTTTTAAACAAGCTTTATCTGCAGATTCTTTGTTCTTGAAAGTAGCAACTACTCTCTTCTTTCCAGCAATGAAAATGTACTTAACACCAATTATATTACTTGCATCATCAATAATGTGATATGCATTTTTAATTTTTTCATCAGGTTTTTTTCCAGGCAAATTCTCTGCCAATATTGAAACTTCATATCGTTTTTTTGATTCTATTTTGACCCATACTTCTTTCTTGTTTGAGGGTACTTCATTTGAATTATCTTCATTGTTATTTGTTTCTTCAGTATCATGATAAGAATTTTCTTCGTTTTCATCTATATCCATTAGAGGAGTTGAATTTTCGTTTCTATCTTTATTTACATTTTTTCCTTTTTTTTCTTTATTTTTTTCTTTTTTTTTTGTTACCATTGTAAAAAATTTTCTGAAATTATTAATTCAGTGGTAATTTTATTATTAAAACTTCTATTAAATCCTATACTAATGCTAAAAAAAAACTTCTATTAAATCCTATACTAATGCTAATGTTAATACTAACAGCTAATAGAATTTTGTAATGTTAATAGTTCTGTTCCGTCTATTATTATTATTATTATTATTATTACTTAATATTATATTATCTTAATTCTCTATATATATTTTTCAATCCTTTCTATTTCTATCAAATTTTATTCTGAACACTTATTTATTTCATTAATGTATTTTTTTTAAACATTAACATGCGTTTCCTGAACCACTATTTGATTAACAGACTTATTATCCTCTCCATAAAGATTAGAACAAAAATCACAAGTTTTTCAACTTGTTCTTTCTAAATCTAAAAGTGTGAGTTAGTTTTCTCATTAATTATATGTTTACCTCTATTCTAGCAACTAACTCTTGGATTTGACATTTTTTGCTTTCCACCAATTGATGGAATTCAGTTTTTATTTTTGTTTTTAATTGCTTGAATTTATTTTGCTTTTTAGGGTAAAGCAAGTAAATCCTTTCCAAATAATTGTAATCAATTTTGCAAATTTTCTTTTTCTTTTGTAAGGTTTTTGTTTTGCAAATCTTTTTCTGAAATTATCCCTTTCACAAATAAATCATATTAGATCATCCCATCATTTATATTTTACATCATTATATCTTACATTGGATCATCCCATCATTTGATCCAAACAACCTTTTTTAACCCATTTTTGGGAAGTTGAACAAGTGCCAACCACACAATCTCTAACCATCACTTCATTTTATATTTATATCATATATGCACAATATACAAGATGTGAAATTGTTACAAAGCAAGTGTGCAATATTATTCACTAGGGAGTGACTGTATATATATGATAATTTATAATGTATAATCTATATATATACATGTTATCATTTTTGACTCAGGCATAATCTCACAATACATCAACAAACATATTAATAACAAGTTTATCTAAGATAAAATTCTTGTTTTTTTATTATTATAAGCATTTTTATGTTTATAGATGGATGATAAAATACAAAATGAGATAAAAATAAAATGTTAAACAATGTATGTAAACATTTGAATATAAAAACTCTACAATAAAAATGATGGCAACTTTGATCATAAAGAAGGTTTAATTTAAAGCATATGATTAATTGTTAAAAATTTTTCAATAATAATAAAAGGTCTTTGGTTCACCATGTAACACTTCCTAAGGGACTAGATGAAATTTTCAATAATCAGTTCAGATAAATTAAATTCATTCACAAATCTAATTCAATTTGTTTAGAATCTGAAATAGTTAATTTTAGTTTAATTTAAAATATCATTAATGATAAATAATTAAGAATAAAATATAGCAATAAATTAAATTATTACCATTATTGTTACTAATGATTGTAACTTTATTGGAATTTACAGGTTGAGAAAGATTTGTAAAATTCAATAATCTACTTGTATAAACTGCATTTGGATGAGCAGTTGCTGTAATTGTTGAAGGGTTGAAAGGTTTTTGATCTGCTTCCTCAAATATTTTTCTTATTTCTTTTAATTTATAATAATTAAGTTTGTGTTTTAG